TTCGGTGCCGCTGCCAAAAAATTGAAGACACAATCGTCAGTAACGATGTTTGCCTTACGATGCGTCAGTGCGTGGCTGGTTGCGGTGCGTGGCAGACTACTGACTCGGTGGACTCAAGCTAGTTTGCTGCATAGACTGCTTGTGGCTTGTACACACTTCGTTTTTCCCGGCAAGCATTGGAATCCTGGGGTTGGGGATTCAAAGTTCATGTGACGTCTTACAATGACTGACTTCTGTGAACTTCAGTGAATGAGATGTATGTTGTTCCTGCTTATCCTCGCCATCACCAGTACCAGGGCCACCATCACCATCATCCTTGTCAGCATGATGGTCAGTAGCATTAGGACAGTACTGTTACTTGCATCGTGTCTCTGCCTCAGCGCGGTCTCTGGATGCTCGTGAATGTTCAGCGATGTTGCGACTCCGGCCAGAGCTGCGTATGCCATCCTAGTTTCAATCGCGCGATGTGTTAACCTACATATCGTTTACGAACCTCAAGCATCTCCAAGCTTCTCTTCCGTGAGCCCCATAGACCCGAAGTGGCAGTCTGATGCCAGGGAGCATACCCACCAGCAGAAATTCCGCAGGTCTGGGCCGCTCGGGAGGGTGACTTGTGTCTTGAGGAAACGTTGTACGTTGTACCTGGCCCACGGCAAGTTAGGTTCAGTACGGGAAAGATGCGTGCTGCTAGATGCTGTGAGAGGAGGACGATGTCCTCAGAAGCTTCCTCAATCGATACTGAGGCTAGGTGCAGTCTACCGGAGCCTGGCAGCTGCAAGCGAGACTGCCTAAACGGCCCGGGTACAAGGCTAAAGAGAAGCTGACATCCCAAGCAACTACTCGTAGATCCTGAGCTCTGCATAAAGCGAACACGAGACTCATCATTGTGTCTTAGCCAAACCGGCTCTCCGTTTTCGGCAGCTCAGCCCGAGAGAAGTGTCTTCAAAGAGGTCGGGGAGCATCATTCTTGGCTGGTTATACGCACCCTGCATTGCCGGCGGCCGCCACAATTCCTTGTCAGGAGCCGGGCATTGAGCTTTTGCGGGTGGGTTGCACCTCGCTGTGCCTTGGACCGAAATCTTCATTTTACCTACTAGCAGACAGGCAGCAGCTTGTTGCTTCTCGCGCATCTATTGGTTGATTCGAAGAAATACTGTATCTGCGTCTAAACTAAACCTAAAATCGATACCTATAGCTGTATCTTTATCTATATGGTCATCTTTATCTATATCTACACCCATATCCAGTCCATATCGGTATCTATGTCCACCTTCATGTCGGTACCCATATCGGTATCCACATCTCATCTTTATCTACATTCACACCCGTATCTTGCATATATGTTTGTATATATATATACACACACTCATGAACGACATTCCTGTTCAGGTCAGAGTCGTCTCTTGCCAAAGTGGGACTTGATGGTCAGGGTTTGGTCACTACAATAACTCATGTTCTTGGCCATCAGGGAGTTGTTGGCTCGCAATCCCACCCAGAAGCTGCACAACCTGAGATCCCTGGACATCCTAGCCCCAGACCGCCCGGACCAGGTCTTTCGGCTGGAAGAGGCCCTACTGCGGAGGTGCCAGGGCGCTCAGCGATATACTAGACTAGACTCCAAGTTGAACTCTGTAGTACCGACCGCAAGGATCTGGGTTCGGGTCGTGTCAGGTTGCGCAGAAAGGACCAGTTGCGCACTTTACTCAAGGCTGATGTGAGCCCAAGGCCGCAACCCTTAAAACCTAGCACCTTCGACCCGAAACCACGCGAAGCAGAAGTGCAAACCCCGATGTTGTCGTGCAAAACCGAACTTCAAAGCCAACAACACAACGCTTTGAACAACCCAAGTGTTTATGAATCACTAGTCACTACTGACTTGTAACACGGCAAATGGACCTGTAATCCATGATGATGAGCATAGCATAATTAGGTACTCTGGTGCGAGGGTTCTGCACGCAGATGGATTTGGCAGAACACAAGTTTTGCTGTTTCTTTATGACTCCCACTCGTCCCCCAAGGCCCCCGTGACCCACTACGTGGTCCGCCTGGCACTCGGGTAACTTCGGGCAAGGCTCCGTAGGTGGGAACAGGAAACCCTTTATGCCAAAGGCGCTCTGAACCATTTTAAGAAAGTTCCTTTAAACGGATCCATCACGGTACTGTAAGCATCAGTTTTTCCAGCAGAACCCGCAAGATGCTTTGTTCGAAGGGCAGCCCGAGGCCGCTTCTGGTTCTAAACCACGCCCCGATGCGATCTGAAGATGCGGCCCTGGCTTCCGGGGCTTCCATTTCAAGTCTGGGGATTGGCAATGGGTTTCTAGAGTAGGACGGCTTAAGCTCTGACCGACAGGAGGTTCTGCCATGCAGAGTGCGAGCCCGGACCGGTTGGGAGAACCTTTTTTCTCAAGCCCAGCACAGCGAAGGCTTCCAGCAAAGGCTGCAAAGGGCGCCCATTATGAACAAGTATAATGTTATCGGAAGTGGTTCGTTCAACAGTGGGACCCCGCCATCAAGAAAAGCATATTCGGGGACTCCTTTGCGGTGAAGACGGGGCTGAAGAGCCGAAGAGACGACCCGCCCGTTCCGCTGTAAAGGGCGTGTATCATGACAAACATTCTCGGAAGTGGTACCCCGCCATCAAGAGACGCATATGCGGGGGCTACTTCAGGGTTTAGGAATTACCCTTACATACCGCAAAGCCCAAACCCGAACCCCAATATAGCAGCCTAAGTAGTTACGATGCATTTCCTGGCGCTGCTAGACCTTCTGGATGCATCGGCAGAGAGAGAGAGAGAGAAGCAAAAAATGAGTTGCAATACTGTTCCCCAGGGCGGTGCATATTATCACACACACACATATATATATATATATATATTATATATATATATAGATAGATATATATATATATATATATGTATATGTTTGTGGTTCTTGATGCCTTGCTGATCCGATCCTCGAGGCTTCTCACAGTCGGCAGAGGAGCTCTGGAGTGACGACTGTCGAACTCTTAGGACATGTTTGGGGTTTTGGGTTCAGAGTTTGGGCTTGGGGAATAGTGATTATAGGTTCAAGGTTTAGTCTATGGTTGAGGATAGGGCATCGCAGTTTCCGGGCCGAGGGTCAAGAAACCCATTGCGGTAAAGCTAGTTCGTAGGGCCCCTTCTTTTTTTTTATCATTATACCCCAATATATACCCCCCAATTCCTATTATGAGTATTGAGGCAGGCCCCTGCATTAGCGATGCTTGTCCTGTCATGGAATCGTTGCAGTCACTGCCTGCTTTTTCGCCCCCTTCATCACCATCACCGGTCCGCAAAACCGTTATTTAACAGTGCCAGCAAGCACACACCAAAAATTACTACGGCAAGAAATACATACAACATACAACCCTCAAAGCCATTTTACTACGTAATAAATGCAGCAGCATCAACAGCATGTGGCTCCAACAACAAGCGGAACGGTGCCCTGGACGGTGGTTATTGGTGATGGTAACTGTTCTTATTTTCATGTAGGTGTTTACAGTCCCGTTTAACAAGCCCCGGAACTCGTTCTTTGTTTTACTCCTTTTCGACGTCTGCTGGTCGGAGGGGGAATAACCACATAAAGAAATTGTAGACCATGCCGGGCAAAATTTCCCTCGCCAGAAGCTCAATTCAAGCCCTTTACCACCCTTTACCCCAAACAACTCAGGCGCCCCAAACCAGAGACCCCAAGCTCCAAACCCAAAGGCTCAGAACGCAGACTTAAACCCCAAGCCCCAAGCCCCTGAAGCTTCACCCAGGCTACGAGTTCCAGCTGGAGGAGACGGAAGTGGAGACCTGGCATGGTGCTTAGAAACTAACCTCAACCATCCTCAACCTACCATACGGTCATACGGGCTTGTTGGGAGCTTCAACGGGTTCTGTTGTTGCTCTGAGTATCAGATTACCGACCACTGGTACCGCAAACATGTTCTGTTTAACTCCGAGTTTTCTCGGTGCATGCCGCGCTCCAGTGCTCAAGCGGCTCACTTTTTCCCTCGTGGCTTCCTGCCGCTGTGCAAATGGTGATCAAGACAGTGCCTTTGCTGCTAATGGCGACTTTGTTGAGGGGTCAGGTTCAGATGAGAGGCTCCGTCTGGTTCTGATTGACACTTTGACTGTAGCGGAGCCCTGGCTTGGATCCTTACATTCCCTGAACCCAGAAAAGCTGCTCGAAAAAAAGGCCCAGGCACCTCTAAGTTTGGCATTTCAGATGCGAGGTCTGCAAAGGTTTGTCGCAAAGCCGCGGTGACAAGTGGTGGGAACCGGTGGGGGGGGGGGGGGGGGGGGGGGGGGGGGGGGGGTCATTGCGGCGTAGTGGCCCCACAACCCTGTGCCCTGAAACCTGATCAATGAACCCTAAACCCCAAGCAACGTGGTCTAGGCGTCATGGCTGTTGTGCCCTTGAAGTGCAGTTGGATTCTGGGAGGGGAAGTGAGTGCTTAATCCTGTATCCATTGCTGCTTTTTTCAGTGCCATGCCCAGTAGTGTAGTTTCACATCGCGGACTCCGAGCCATATGCTTCGCCTGGATTGTCCGCGTGTGAGCGCCGAAACCCTAAGCCCTAAACCCTAACCGCTTCATCCTTGCTAGGTGGGACGGAAAACCCCCAAAACTGAATCAATGCCTGTGCAACCTGAGACCCCGAATAGACAGTCGCCTCATGGTATCAGAGATCCTGACTCCCACTTCCTGTCTTTCTATGCCGCTATACATGTGAGGGTGTCCGAAAGTTAGGTTACCTTATTTTGGGGGTCCTTATAAAAGGCTTGCGCGCCGAAAAAAAACTACCGCTCGAAATGTTGACGACGAGGAAGACAACGATGATGATGAAAATTACGATGGTCACGATGATATCGATGGCGATGGCGATGATGATAACGATGATGATGACGATGATGATAACAATCGTGGTAGCAATGATGATGACCTAGCGATCTGGCAAAGGTGACTGTGCAAGGACCTTTTGCCCCATACCTTTTCCACCCACAAACCTCAACAAACTTGCCGCGACCTTCAAAGTCATCGGCCCCACCAGTGTTTTCGCCTTCTGCCGTAAGACTAGCTTTGCAGCCCAGGTCCGGAGAATAAATTCAGGCCGGCTTTTCCCAGCACACAAAAAGCCCACTGCTCAACACATTGATGGCGATGATGATAACAATGATGATGAGAATGATGAAGATGATGGTGATATCGATGGTGGCTGTGAGGATGATAGCGATGCTGACATCGATGATGATAGCACTGATGGTCGCCTAGGGCGCCCAGAAAACTGGACACGAAATCGTGTCCCGTTTTTGCTTCTGCCACAATACCGCTGGGGAAGGTCAAAACGTGCGATTTTGCTGCGCCTGCCACACTTTTGTACACTTCCCTCGGCCGCTCCTCTGTAGGTTTTGTCTTCAGGGTAGTTTTTTTTAGGCGCGCGCGCCTTATAAAAGGCTCCTATGATTTAGGGTATTAAATAAGGATCCCGGGTCCCATAATTCGGAAACTCTCATATAACCTGCAAATAACTCCCTAGCTGCCCTTGCTTTCGGACTTTCCGGGGCTCCCCCAAGCAGTGAGGTATCTCCCAAACCCTCAGGCATGCTCCTTCGTCCTGGGATCTCCGGGGCATTGACGTTTACTGGGTTGCCTTGAACCGGACTAAAGGGCCCAGCACTCCTGCAGTTTCGATTGATCAGAGGGTGGCTGCGTGACGCTGCTGTTGCCTTTCACCTTCCCCGGCTGACTTCCCAAGCCCGGATGCAACAAAAAAAGAGGGTGTCTACCTAGACCCCCCAAAGTAGGTAAAATAATGGCCCCAAACCTATAAAAGGCTATTATTCTACATACTTTTGGTTCGAAAAAATCACGAGTTTTCTCGCTTTGTAGCATCAGGCGGCCCTGGCTTCCCGCAAAGCTCCTGCCCAGGACTTGTGCAACTACACTGAGTACCGCTCCTTGGCAGTAAGAAAGCAGATTGTGTTGACACTTAACCCCCCCTAAAGCGGAGAGCAGCAGGGCGACAAGCCTGGCCCCGAAAGCCATAAATGAGTCATTCCACCGTCCAACTCATCGTCCTCGCCGTCACAGCCGCCGTACCGCACCGATCCTCATCCACGGTCTGTCACCACCATCACCATGATCACCATGATTGCATGCACCAGAGATAATGGCATCATCTCACCGGGGCGAAGGAGGAGGAAACAACATGTGACGGCAGTGGCTGTGATGTTGATCTTGCTGATTATCTCAACGCTGGAAGCCATGTTTAGAAAGCACTCATGCTGCTGCTATACCGCTGTTGTACCTGAGAAAGTTGGACTTCTTGTCACGGTGGATGTTGGTAGAGACTCAGAATGGCTACAGGCCGACGAGTGTAGGAACTCCAAGGTGCCGCACGCCCATTGGTTTACGGTCTGGCATACTGGGCCACTTCAGACAGGGGCCATGCAAGAAGGTTTTACAAAGATCGCATGCCCAGCTTGTGAGATGAGTGGTTGAAGTGTAAAGCGGAGTGACAGCGGTCCTTGTTTTTGTAATGACTCCACATGATGCGTTCCGCAGACAGAGCCCCATCCTCAGAATGAAGCCGGCGGCTAGGAATCTATCCCGGGCACGGCCAGAAGTTTGTTGCCAAGGATGCGAAGGCGTGGCTGCGCCTGTAGGTTTGTAGCCAGACTCCAAGCCTTCGAATAAAGCTCTGTGTGGCGCAGGGTTCAGAAGCGGGTGCGGTCCCCTTGAATGCTCCATTTACATTCTCTGCATCCGGCGATTTGGCATTTGCTACTAGTATAAAGCCTATCCCTAAATCAGAGCCAACTGTCAAGGCCTGAGGCGCGCCTGTAAACCAAGTTTCAATTGTGCTCATGTTGCTCGTTGCAGTTTCCACAGCCTTGGAGTGCTGCTTTGGTATCAGCATACTCCGGTCGGGTGTAAAGGGGCTAGCAATACTCCGGCCTTGCATCCAAGTGGGTAGTCTACGGTGCATTTCGGCATGGCAATCCTGGAACTGTGCTCGCATTCAAGTCCAGGTTCTGGTAACAGAGCGTGGTTGCTTAGCCGACCTTGCGCAGCACGTAGTCAACATGCTTTAGTTAGGTTAGGTCATGCCTGTCGCGAAGATGGTCTCAAAACCCGTACCCCCCCTACGCCTTTACACCTATATGAAATAAGCCTAACTGCTTCAAGGTTATCTGCTTTTGTTTACAACACTTCCTCATGTAATGTTAGCGTGATTTAGTCTTGAGACTTGTGTTGTATATGCATTCGTTCTTTCGATATTTGTGTTTGGTCAGTGAACCAGTCAGCCAGTTGGTCAGTTAGCTACATAGTTATCTTGCTGTCCGTTCATTAGCCCTGCGCTGCTTCTAGTTCTGCTTCTAGTTGTAACTGAATTATTTTATTTCTCGGTGAACATTTGTGCGGCGTACTATCGTTTTGTACGTAGCACATGGGCATCAAATACTTAGACTAGAGGATCATGGGACTTAGTAACTAGGGTTATAATTTATAATTAACTTAACTATACTTATAATTACGCAATTACGTATAACCCCATTTAAGGTACTTATAACCATACTTACTAAGTCCCATGATCCTTCCATTATAGACCCCTTATAGATCCCTTTAAGGAACCCTATTATAGAACCCTATAGTACCCTAAAACGGAACCCTAAACCATACTTACTAAGTCCCATGATCCTCCAAGTACTGCAGGTGAACTTCTTTATCACTGCCAAGGCGGGGTTTATTCAGTACCGCTTTGGGGACGAGGACCCGAGGACCCGCTTCTGTGCCAACACGAGCTTTAATTATTAGTGGTACCTTATTTTCGGGGACCCTATAATAAGGATCCCACTATTGAGGGTAGTATATATTCTGGTCCCTATTTTCCACAATGCCCTTAACCCTCGACCCAGCGCCCTTCAGCCAGAGATCGGTTCGGTCAACATCCTCATCTTCCTTGGGTTCCTATAAAAGGCTGAAGCCTGTTGTACCGGAATGGCGCCGGGCATTTGCTAGAGCATCGTCCCTGGCAGCAATGCTTGCGGTCTCGGTGTTGAGACTCGTATTCGAGGGTTCGGCTGACTGTGGGCCACCAGGCTGTTGAGGGATGTTTCGTGCAAGCAAAGGACCCTGTCAGACTCGACAACTCCACAGCAACGCTTTTGCATTTTGCGACTTGCCGGTCTCTTATGTTCTGATCAACAGTTCCTGAACCTCGAGCACACGAACATGGTAGAACCTGGTAGAGTCTTTCCTGTATCAAGTTGCGTTCATGAGTGTGAGTGCACGTGAGTCGTCCCAAGATCGCACTAGACTGACTTGATTCCTGGAGTTGCTACTGCCGGCAGACCCCTAAGACTCAGAGGTCGTGTCTCGTGAAGAACTCCGAACAGCAGAAGGACGGTAGAACATAAACATAGGAATGAACATGCGATAGAGGCAGAGCGATAGCTACAGCGAAAAACACACATCGGAAACTCAGAACCGAGAAAGAGAGCGAAGGATTGACACAAGGCGCTAACACGCCTTGCAGCATTGCTGCACATAAAGCATGTGCAGTTGTACCCAGGGATGGTTTTGAGGTTCAGAGACTGCCCCCTTGATGCATGGTGGCTTGTGTAACCGCAGTCGTGTACAGTGCTGCTAGCATGTTAGTGTTTGCTGTGATTTTCGCAGGCGGACTCCCTCTACCATCAGCGAATCAAGCCCGTGAAGCTCCGCTGGACACAGGCCCATATTATGTTTAGGGCTTCTGGGTTTGTGGTAACGCTTTCCTGGCCGAGGCATACGCCCAGGTATGGTGGTGTCACACTTGCGACCGGCTGCAGACGATTTTTCCACAGCCAGAAACCACCCTGCACTGACGTGTGCATGTGGGCAAAACTGTACATGTTTGTATCAGGTGGGTCTGTCTGTATGAACGGATGTATGAAAACATGTATGGACGTAGGCATAGGTTTAGATATCTATACATGTACGAAGGTACGTACATGAGTTTTATGCGCATATGTATGTACGTACTTAGGTGGGCAGGAAAGCGGACAGGCAGGCAGGCATGTGGTAGGTGTGTGTGTGTGTGTGTATATATATATATGCATTATAGATACGTATACATGTATGTGAGTATACGTATACATGTACATATACACACATGTTTGCATATATGTGCAAATTTACGTGCACCAAGCTTCCATATGTACGTACATGTCTGTGGTTTGAACGTGTGAATATGCATGTGGCATGGCAGGGCATGGAAAGCATGACGTATAAAACAACACGCTGCAGTACAGTACATGCATGCAAACGGCATGCAACAGTCATTAGGGCATACATGAACGCATCCATGTCTGCGTACATACATACACACGCCTCCATTGAACAAACACATATACGTGTACGCATACGTACTCGTGCACACACACACATACACAAATTCATGCACAAATACATACATACATACGTACATACATACATACAGGCTTTCATACATTCATACATATACTAACACATGCACAGAACGTAAATACTTGCACATGCATATACATACATATATATATATATGTATATATAAATATATATGTATATATGAACGCATATGTGCATATATGCTTGCATACGTACACGGACATACACATGCACGTATACATATTCGTATGTAGATGCATACACGTGTACATGAACATATATACATGTATATTTACATCTACATCAACAACATGTACAAATACATATATACATATGCATTTGCATTTGCATATTTTCTATTTATGTATATATATATGTATATATATATATAGATTTGTGTGTGTGTGTGTGCGTGTGTGTGTCTGTGTTTGCTTGTTGCTCGTGCTGGAGTACTGCTTGCTTTTCTTTGCCAAATTATGAACTGCACCAGAGACCACGGACGTGAGTCAATAGTCCACGGAACTACCCAGTCACGTCTCACACGGTTCTCATCGGTATGACTTCAGAGGGCAGTCCGCCTCCACATGTCACACGCAACCCTGAATCCTTAACCCTACACACCCTGAACCCTAAAGACCTGATCGCAAGCTCTGCATGCACAGGCCCGAGAAGCATATTGCAGTAAGGCTCGTAGCCGGGCGGTATAGTTCAAGGACCATGTGGGCCCTGCGACGTCATACCATATGTAGTAAAGTAAGCATCGCCGTGGTTTGAGATTTTTGACAAGGTCACTAGTTCATGCTGAGACTTGGTTAAACGACTTTGAGAAGTGTCTCATCTGGCTTCCATCGATGTCTCCTTTACCTGCGCCCTAACTCCATCTCCAAACTGTTCATCTGGGCTTCATCTGTAATTGGCTGCCTGTCAGACGCGATGTTTGTGTCAGTACTAGTAACAGCGTGTCGGCAAGCTATAATTAGGTCTAATTGGGTTGTGGGCGTTGTTTCCCAGACCAGCTGACCAAAAAGCCAGAAGCTGGCATCGCAGGCTTGGCGAAGGCAGAACAAGAAGGGCAAGGTGCGGCAACGGTTTCGTCTTGCAGCACTGTCCTTTGGATGCCTTGATGATGAAATCTTAACATCCTGAACCCTGTTCAGCAACTGGGGGTGCAGAAGTGTGTTTATACATATGCGTATATACATAATTCTATCCATGTGTACCGGTTTGTAACACTTATGCACAAGTGTGTCTGTGAAGCCTATGCTGTTCATTCGTTCTGAGGTGGAGGAGTCAGAGCCGGCATGCCGACAAGCGTGTACTTCTAACACCTGTCTGAAGCGTGAGAGTAGGAGACCTCACACCTTCTTCCGTCGAGGATTGCTGCATTCTGCACTTAACCAGTGAAGAAGACGAGGTATCAAGTTGGAGAAGCGACAGAGTTTCAAGTTTCAGACTCACATAAGGCAGGTAGACTAGAGGTCGACTGGGTTCAAAGCATTCAGCGCAGTGTTCTGATGACGGCTTAGAGCATGGGGGCTTAAACTTTCAGGGTCTCGTCGGTATCGTGCATGCGAGGAAGACCAGAAAGGCTTGAGCCACTTTATGCGAAGCCGCTGATGCGGCTTACACCTGTGTTGCCATTGAATGCTCGTCATGCTGAAACGGCAAATTTGAATTCGGTCACTGCATGGTACGGCTGTGGCAGAACGCCTGCCGACGAGCTCGATGTACCCCCCACGGGCTAAACTCTGAAATCGGTGGGTTGCGCGTGTGTGTTTCTGGTGTGTGTGCGTGTCTCTGTCTCTGCGCGAGGTGTGTTTGTTTTTCACATCTGTATGTAAATGTAGGCTTTGGCAGTTAAAGGTGAAGGGATACCTGGACCCTGCCGCAGCCTGTTGGAACCATGGCTGCTGGCTGCCTGCCTTTGGGGCGATCTGCCCCGAAAAAGAAGGGATGGGCGTAATGACATGAGTCGTTCCGCAACACAAACACCCTGGCAATGCCCGGTCTCATACCGGAAAACCTATAGGGCCTAGACCATATCCAAAGGTCTTAAACGTCCTTAACCCAAAAAACCCTAGAGCTCTAAACAAATTCCTAAACCCGGTGAAGAACCTACCAATCCCTAAAGGTCCTATAAACCCCCCAAAATTAACCCCGAGCCCTAGGGTCCCGAACAGGTCGAGGAGGGGGGCAAGAAGCGGACCAGGAAAGCCCAGAAGTTCCAGAAGGCCATCGCCCGGGGCCTCAGCCTACGGGGATACTCCTTTAAAGGGATCTTTACCCTTTAACTGGATCTATAGGGGTTTAGGGTCCCTTTAAAGGGATCTTTACCTTTGGTTAGTAGGAAATGGAGGAATGGGGTACACTTATAACTACTCTTACTACCATTCTTCCATTCCCTACTAACCAAAGGTAAGTACTTGGGCTTACGGAGTTTTCGAGGCGTCTTAGTGGAGCTGGCGTTTTTGAATTTTTGGGCGTTGTGAAGTAGTGAAGGCCCCGGTCATGGAGTATCTTTCTGGACCCTGGATTCCCTTTCTTGCGCCAAACATGTCTACTGAAGACTGTCAGTCGGGTTTGCAGAGCTTCTGTGCCAAATCCTGTTGACAGTACTCCACTAGCATATGGGAGTTTCCGAAAATTAGGGGTACCTTATTTTGGGGTCCGGGGTCTTCATAGTAAGGATCCAGCTATTTAGGGCACTATATTAGGGTCCCCGATTTTGGGAAACTCCCATCTGCCAGGGCCAGGGTCGGGGCTGGTGTTTGGCGGCCCATAGGTTTCAGAGTCTCCCTAAACCCTAAACCCTGAACCCTAAACCCTGAACCCTAAACCCTAAACCCAAGTCTCATGGGCTTGTCACTCCTACAGCGAGACTGTCCAGTGAAGCCCAGGAGCTCCCGGGAACGTTTCATGGTTCTCCCCATATGGGAGTTTCCGAAAATTAGGGGGACCTTATTTTTGGGTCCTTCTAATAAGGATCCTACTATTTAGGGTACTATCTTAGGGTCCCCTATTCTCGGAAACTCCCATATACAGACTGTATTCAGTTGCTGCCATGCTAGAAGATTCGAAACTCCAAGCTCTGAACCCCCAAACCTATCACCCCCGCTTTGTTCGACACTGCGCAGGAGGCGACAAAAAACAATCTTCTACACCCTAAACCCTAAATCCTAAACCCTAAACCCCAAACCCGACCCCCGGTTCAACCGACCCAAGGTCGGCATGAGCTTGGACGACCTCAAGAAGAGGAAGGCGCAGCGCCCGGAGTTGCGCCGGGACCTTGGAGGGCCTTTGCAGTATAGGGGCTGTAGAAGCAGTTGGCAATAGTGTCCTCATGTGGTGCTTGGAAAATCTACGTCATAATCTGTGCCTTGACTCGTTGCAGACTTCTGTCCGTCCACACCCCGAGACAAGAGTGCGTAGGTGTCGAGGGGCGGGTGTAGTGCTCGGAGGGGTGGGGGGTGAGTGAAGGCAGGGGTCGGATTTCAAATTCAAGGCTTTCCTGTTTGTGGCAAATTCCACAAGATTATGGCCCTGCTATTTCTATTTTTCCACAAAAGCCATGTAAACACCAGAGTTTCATCCTGTCAAGCAGAACCGAGAAATGGTCGGCCGCTCTGCTCTTTTCCCTCACTTTTTTGTGGGCCGCGGCTCCAACGTTCCGCCTTCCCCTGAAATCCCGAGGAAAAAACCATCAGCCCGTAACCCGAAACCACGGAAATGGCTGCCCACAAAGAGAACCCTTCAAACGGGAGTTTCCGAAAATTAGGGTACCTTATTTTGGGGTCCTTGTAATAAGGATCCTACTATTTGGGGTCCTATATTAGGGTCCCCTATTTTCGGAAACTCCCAAATCTCGAACCCCTAGAGCAAGACGGATCCTCTCGTGTGCTAGGTTTCATGAGACTTTTACACAGCAAAATCAACACCATGGATCCCGTAAAGCAAGACGGATCCCAATGTAAACTTGGGTTTGGGGGTTTCGGCTAAAGAGACCTGAAACCCAAAACTCTAAACCCCTGAACCCAAAACCCCTAAACCCTAAGCCCTAAACCCCCAAACCCATCCGAAACCCCAAACCCTTAAACCCTAAGCAAAAAAATAGGAGTTTCCGAAAGTAGGGGTACCTTATTTAGGGTCCTTAGAATAAGGATCCTATTATTTAGGGTACTATATTGGGGTCCCCCATTTTGGGAAACCCCCAAATAGCTGAAAAGCGAAAGCTGCCACAGCTCTGCAGGCGCCCAGCGGGAAGCTGCTGCCAAGGAGGCAAAGGCCAAGGCGGCTTCGCCCTCGGGATGCCTGCTTTTGGGGGCTCAAGGGTTTCAGGATTTTTGGGGCGAAAAGGGGCCTTTAGGATTTAGAGTTTAGGGGCTTTAGGGTTTTGGGGCTTTGGGGCTATAGGGTATACGAGCTGGCGGTCGAAGGCTTCTAGGGCTTTTAGTTCAGTTGTGGTTTATGATTCAGGGATTTAGGGGCTCGGGGTTGTTCTTGTGATCGGGGGGTTCAGGGCTTTAGATTTCGTTTTTCAATTTGGAGGCGTGTTTTATAGGTGTTTAAGTGGACGGTTTAGCATCGTTCAATTTTCGGTTGCATGGAGTGAGCCAGGGACTATGCCTGGCATTCGGGGTTGTATATAGGTTCTTAGACTTTAAGAGGTTTAGGGTGCTGGGACTATGTGTGAACACCTACTGTGTACGCTCTCGAACCACTAAACCGGCTTGTAGGGCATGGGTGCTGCGGTGGGGGAGGTGCGCACGGGGGCTGGAAGGGACGTTTCTTTTTTTTTTGTTTTTTGGAGGGGGGGGCTTTGCACCACCACAACTACAAGCACTACTGCAACCACGACGACGAAGAAAACTGCAGCAGCGACAGCAACAACAACAACAATTATTACGACTACTACTACTACTACTACTACTACTACTACTACTACTACTACTAGTATGCCACTGCCGCTGCCACTACGGCTACGGCTACGACGACGACAGGCTACTACTACAGTAGCTGCATGAAAGGAGAAGCTCGCAGTTCGCCGCAAAAAGATGGGACGGATAGTGGTGACCCAGAGGCCAACAGCTGCGCAAATCTGTAGACATTGTTATGCTACCTAGTCAGCTGAAGCTAGTTTCGCAAAAGTTCACTTGAACCTGCCACATCAAGCCAAAGATCGGGTGAGATGCCCAGGCATCGCAGAAGAAGGCCGCGTCCAGCAAGGCCTTATTGCATCTTCGGGTATGCTGGGGGAATGATGCAAAGTGTAGTTTCTGCATGTTCTAGTTGCAGGTACGCATGTAAGAAGTTGGGTAAGCATGTTGTAACCTAACGTTATGGGCACATCCATGCACGCATGCATGCATACATACATGCATACATACACAGATCCATGCCCGCACATTTTTGATCACCCGTGTATCGTCGATGTTTATGCTTAGGTACTGAAGTAAAGCTGACTTGTACATGCCAATTCAGTACTCAATTACGGAGCTTGTGGTTGTGTCGCCAAAAGTCCACATAATGGGGGTTGTCCTGTGTTGCTAAGTATCCTCCTGCCCTTTTCTTCCGAGACTGCCGCCGCGAAGCCCAAGGGCAAGGCCGAGAAAGGCGGCAATCTCAGAGCCGGCGCAGACTATCATTGTTGTTTAGGTAGAGGTGGGTTGGGCTTCGTCTGGACTTTCTGCACTGACAGACAGGCTTCGCCAGTTCGCGAACGACCCCACTGAGAGTAGACACCATCGTCCTTCGTGTTTGCATTAAGATAAGTGTCACCTCATGGCTTCGAACGACTCTTGCTGATATTCTGTGAAGGGACTTGAAGGCATCGCCAGCGCTAGCAGATGAATGGGCTCACCCTGGTAACAATCGCCTTCCAGCCCCCATGCATAAGCATGGCACCAAAGACAGGGATGCCATCATCGCCACCGCCGCCACCGCACGCCTTTTCCGTATCATAGCAATCCTCAAAATCATTGTCACCCGAACCGATATCAAGCTGGCATGCCACAGAATGAATAGCCCCTATACCCCAATGCATTGGTTACTTATTTGCCATAGGAGGAATGAGCTCCCTTAGCGAGTTGTCTTTCACTCCACAGACTCCGAACCACATGCCTCGCCTGGATTCTCCGAGAGTGAGCGCCGAAACCCAAAATCCTAAACCCTAAATCCTATAAGCCCTAAACCCTAAGCCACTGTCCAGGGCCAAAGATCCCCAAGGGAGGTGCCCCGGCCGGCGGCGCGTCCAAGAACTTCAAGGGAAAGAAGCCGAAGCCTTGGCCTTCTCTGTGGTGCTTACCGCTTGGTTAGGTACGTATCTGTATAAATATGAATATATATATATATATATATATATATATATATACATCTATTATACATACACATGGTACCAGCGATATTCTCTTGATTGGCACGAAGGAAGGGCTGCTAGTTTCTTGTTCTTGCTGCTACTGCTGCTGCTGCTACTACTACTGCTACTACTACCACCACCCCCAGCAGTCGTCGTCGTCATCGCAGCCACTGTCGTGGTTAGGCGTCGTGACCATCGTCGTAGTAGCCGTAGCAGTCGTCGTTGTCGCAGTCGTCGCCGCGCGCGCGCGGGTGTGTGTGTGTGTGTGCTTGTGTGTGTGCTTGTGTGTGTGCTTGTGTGTGTTTGCATTGTTAGTATGTCAAGTATGTGATTTTCATGTCTGATTGGTGCTATCGTCGTTGGCAGAGCCAAGACTGGTACTTGTCACTTTACTGTTTAGGAAGGTAGGATACGGAGTGAGGCCCGATGGTTGTATAGTGCTGTCCTGCTTTGACAGCAGTTCTCAGATGCATGACATCGTGACATCGCTTCTCCCCATAGCAGCGGGGCTTGACCGATTGAAGAGCCCAGGTGAGCCGCACCAAGGCGAATGTCTTGGGAGCCAGCCAAACTCGGCACGGTTGCGGAGAAAAGTCAGGATTTGGACCAATGCTGGGCTGGGCTTACTGGGGCTCATCGCATTGGTCGGGGAGGCACTATAGAAGTATATTGGCAATGATGATGCTGGTGCTGCTGGCGCTACTTAGTGACAATTCCGTGCTTAGTTGTACTGCTCTCCGTCATCCTTCTGGTCGTTGTCATCTACGGTGCTGGTAGTACCACAAAGTACTCGTCGTCGAGTCTTCATTCCATGGTAACTGCAGCAGCAATGGGGCCAATCGCAGCTTTCAGCGAGAAACCATGGCGCTGCAAGTTGCAGCAGTCGCAGCATCAGCTACAACAGCGAGGAGTGGTGGTAGTTGTGGTCGTCTTCGTCGTAGCCGTAGTCCTAGTCCTGGAGAGCCGTAATAGTAAACAATGCCGCAGAAGACGCCGACACCACTGCGACAACACTGCGCTCTCGGCAAGACTACTGACCAGTGAAATAGGGGTACCTTATTTGGGGGTCCTCTTAATACGGAGCCCACTATTTAGAGTACCATATTAGGGTCCTTTAAGAATCCCCAACGGCAACGACGGTTGTCGGAACCCAGGCATGGGATCGTGCATGATGAAGCGGCAGCATCGTGTCGGCCCCAGTCGCTCGGAGAGCGTTGCGAGCCGGCTTTGGGAACAGGGACGTTAGGGTTTGGTACGGGGGGAGGATTCTGAGCTGCACTGCAGATACATGCTTGGGCGAAGTTGACAGGCCCATGAGGCTTGTCACAATCACAGGCGGGATCTGATCAAACTCCACATAGAACTTCGGGGTGGGGGGGCTGCCACCCATGCCAGCCTAGGCGTAGTTAGACAGGTTGAAGTTGCGGTGTCATCAATGCTGGCGCAGTCTCATTCCGAAATGACTCGTATGATGATATGACAATGATGATGATTTTGATGATGATGATGATGATGACCCATCCTCAACAATGGTGATGATGATGAAAAGAAGAAGAAGGGCCAGCTAAATAGAGACTATAGCTGAGAGCAAACTAGAGACGAGGCGCCCGATCTTCAACGCGAAGCCCCGTGCAGCAAAATCACCCCCAACCAACGACTCTGGAACTGTCCTGCAGCCTTTTTCGTTGTGACAAAAGCAATTGTTTTCATAGAAATAAATCTGGAAATGTCCTGGAGCCGTTTTCGTTTGTGCAGCATGCCGTTCTCACGTCATCATTCGCACAATCTATGACCATGATGGACACAGGCTCAACAAATGGGAACTGCGTTCGTTTGCTTCACTTTTGCCCGCAATCCTCAACTGTTCGACCCTGCCTCCCAATCTGAAGGCAGCTCCAGAAGCCAGATCTTGTGAACGAGGCTGTTCTCTTCTCTGGGCTCGGTCCATCAAAGTCTTCGGATTATTCCATGGTGGGGTCGGCGGGAGAGGGGAAGGTATTTCGGGTGTAGGAGTTGTGGAGGCTGGAGTGATCTAGATCGGAATCCACTTGCAGGCAATGTAAAGGATCATTGCAGCGTTTCTCCAAGAATGCAGATAAAGTAGCTTCTCAAGATGAGGTTAGCACTGGCGGAACCCTTTCAACATGATAAGAAGCTCGGCGATTCACCAAAACACACACAGACTCACCTCTGAACCCTAAACCCCGTAAGCAGAGTTTCAAGGTACTCAACTCTAAAAGCCGCTAAACAGCTCCGCAGGCTCGGTGTTAGGAGTATCCTGTGTGTATGTATGTATGTATATGTATGTATATATATATATATACACATTGTTTTATAAATAGATAAACAAGGAAAAGCATGTATGTATGTATGTATGTATATATATATATATATAGAAAGATAGATAGATATATAGATATATGCGTCCATATACGAGCACAAAGCGACATGAAGAGCAAAAGAGGCCTTGACTCGGACTGGTCTGGCAAGGAATGTCGTAGGCACCTGAAACAGCTGGGACCTTGCAGCCAGCAACAACCTATAGTACTATAGTCTCCATTGTAGTTCCTTTTGGGGTTACCTTATAGGATCCTAATTGTATATTTGGTTAAACCAAAAAAAGTAACTACAATCGAGACTATAGGAAGCATCATAGCCCTGCCAGAGGAAGTCGTCAGCAGCTTCGCCGAATACCTCATCACGCGGTTCGGAGGCGTGAACCTGTGAACTGCCAGCCGGTGTCAACCCGAGGTGCTGAAGGCAGTGTAGGGAAAACCATGACTTAGCTTGGGGCTCTCCCGATTCGGTTGGTATGGCTAGAGATTTTCAGTGCTGGCAGACGAAGAACAGTGCAACATAAATCAACAGACGACAGTGTTGGAGACCGACATCTATGAAACTTTTAGGTTTTTTGGGTCGGACTTACTTTCCGACAACTCGGACAAACTGGACGAAATTTCGTTAGAGTAGTATAGATGTCTGCAGTCCTTAGGGTTCTGCAATAGCTTGGTCTAGTGAGTCTAGTTCGACGATGTCGGGCGCAGGGTATACTGCCGCCGTCTCCCTCGTCAAATTCGCGCAAGTGCGCTCTCACTTTTTTCTTGGCCCAGTATTGTCTGTTTCCAATACACGCACGCAAACCCCGAAAACCTAAACCCCCCAGAGCGGAAGCCCCTACTACTGTAGCTAGCCAGAGGGGCCCAGGCGCTTAACCCAAAGGAGCTTTGCTTGCTTTGTGCAAGGCGAGGGTCGAATTCATACAGGGCTTCAGGGTCCCTAAACCCTGAACCGTGCTTCTAGGAAGCCTTATTATAGTCCCCCTTATTACAGTAACCCTTATAGTAGCCTAGCCCTTATTAAATTAAAGTAAACCCTTATAGCAACCCTTACGTCTTAAGCCTTAAAGGATCCCCCTTGAAGCGTCTCAGCAGTGGCGGCTGCAGGCGTGGAGGAATCATGGGCTTCCGCCTCAGTCGAGGGCTTCTGGCTTACCCAGAAAAGAGGGGCAGGTGAGGATACCTTTTAAGATGTGTTTAAGGGGAGTTTGGTGTGCTAAACCTCTGAAACCGAAGCTTGGTTTCACAACTCAGGCATCATGTTCAGCTACAGCTAGGTTTCTTCCCCGTCGTGAAGAAACAGCTATAGTTCACAAGCCCCCCAAAGCCCAACAGAATGATTTAGGGGCCTGCAGTGGCTGTCGAAGGGCAGCTTCAAGAGACACCGTTAGAAAGGTGTTTTGCTCATCTCGGCGCAGTTCGGCCCCAAGCCCTGAACCCGAAACCCTCAGTCCATCCAGCCCTTTGCCACGAAACGCTACTTGCAGGCTCAGGGTTAAAAGCAGGGGTTCTGGTTCTGCTACCCCCAGTAGCTCGGTGCACTTGACCTTCTCTTGCAGGGAGTCCCATAAACCTTCAAGTCGGAGCTTTGAAACCCTACTTACCGCATGCACTGTACGAACCCTATTAAAGGAGCCCCTAAGCCCTGGAGGTAGGACCCCTTAAAGAATGCCCCTTCAAAATACGAATATGACCGAAGGTGTATCATTTACGCGCTTCACACACAGAGGTTTATTGCCCTTTACGGAGCCTTGGTTCCTCTAGCCCTGAGCCTAGAGACCTGAAACTGTCATGTCTGCTTGTGCGAGTGCGTCAGTCGAAACTGTAATCAAGCCTGAACCCCACGCCGAAGCCGTAAACTCTGAGGCAAAAATCTAGATTAGTTTAGATTAGATGCCGCCAAGCCGCAAGCCCAAATCCCTTCATAAATTCTTTAACAACAATCCTTTCATAAACACGGAAGCCACAGAAGTCAACAGGAGTGGTTGGACATCAATGGCAACGGAGAGATCGGTCGGGAAGAGAGCGGAGCTCAGGAGGAAATCTTGAGATGCTTCACAAGGTCCCCGCCCGTAGACGTCTGTGCCTACTGGGTTCCGGGTTTAGGTAGCGTCCCTATGGTTTAGAGGTCTGCAGTGTAAAGTTTGAGGTTATGGCATTGTGTTGGGCATTTTGAAAACATCCGCGTCGTTCTTGGGTCAGGACTTCAGGCACTCGTTTGAACGAGCGCTTGCATGACAGCGTGCATTTGGGATTCGAGCGTTCCTAATTCAGCCAAGATTTGGCCCTCAGATTTCAAGCTGTCAAGGCAAATCAGCGAGCGCCACGAGGTTTTCGAGAGGTTGCCGGCTAGAGGACTAGAGGCTACGATCATGGGAGGGCGTGAGACAGATCGCCATCAGTTTGCGGTGTCGTGCCGGTCCTGCTGTGTCCATGTATGTTGCCTTTTGAATATGTTGTCAACCCTACCTGAACCCCAAAAGACTATCTTGTTAAGGACTTGCATAAGGAAATCACAATAAATAAGGCACCCCAAGAAACTAGGTTCTTTAGAGCTTGGGTAAAGCCTCAACCCTCAAGCTGTGAGGGGAATGGTTGTAGCGCTTGTAGTGTGTTGTCCATTTGTGCCAACGTTGACCATGCTGGAAGATGCGCACAACTTCGCCCTGGTTGCCCAAGTTGGCCCTAAACCCCACCTGACCTAAACCCCCCCTTCCCGAAAAGGTAGCATTCTACACATTTTGGATTCCCCAAGAGCCTACCGTTTCAAGGACACATGAAAAAGAACATCAGATTTAGAAACCCCATTAAACTCGCAGGTTTCTTCGAGCGTCCAAGTAACCCCCAAACCGAGCGTTGGAAAGCCGAGTTCCGTCTGCAGGGCGGAAGTTCTCCATAAGGCTCCAGTTTCCTAAATGGATTATATACTGGGTTACATAACATATATGGTTTAGGTAGCTGGAGCCTTAGGGCCATACTAGCCGAAACCCATTACATATGCCGTAGTCCTGATCTGGAGCTTCTGCAATGTCTCAACATGTAGCCTGGATGTTCGTCGACATCTCTAGAGCTACTGTAGTATGCGACAATAGTAGTAACTAGGCAGTAACGAGCGGTGTCAGATTCGGCTAAGAACGACTAAACGACTGGAACACTTTCATCATAAAGAACACCCAAATACTAGTGATCGCATTGGCGA